CACAGGAACAGAAACTCAAGCAAGATTTGCAATGTAGGCTATAAACTTAGCACCTGCTAGATTGTTTACACATTACGTTCAGATTGCATTACATATTCATCTGAAGATAACTCACTTTTAGCACTAGCTTGTCTTGTCCTTGGCAGTGGCAGTGGCAGCAGCTTACCAGATGGTGATGGAGGAGGTGAGGATGGACTCACTTAGACAAACACCATCATTGTCTTTGGCAGGTTGAACTTCTTAGGCTGCCACAGGAAGTTCTTTGCTGGGCTTTCTTGGAGAGGGAGCTGACCTTGAGCTTCCACTTGAGGTTCTGGGCGAAGATGGTACCTAGGAAGTGGATTAGGGCTTTATTTCCAGAATGTTGTTATTCTGAATCAATCAATTACAATCATCTTGGTTTTTAGCCACTTGTTTAGTTTATGTTTGTGCTAATTACCTAAAGTTAGCATGCTAACGCAATGGTGAAAATGGTAAACATTATACCTGCTAAACATGAGCATGTTAGCATGTTGACATTAGCATTTAGCTCAAAGCACCTTCTACAGCCTTACAGAGCTACTAGCATGGCTATAGACTCTTACTCCTGAAACAGAGTAAGAGTCTATAGCCATGCTAGTAGCTCTGTAAGGCTGTAGAAGGTGCTATAGACAGATGCTTAGCTCCATGAATGTAATGATAATATGTTAGGGAAACAAAGTGGGGCTATACATCAGACACACACAGACACATGAAATAGTGTCCCAATGTTTTTATCATCTATTCATCTCTCCTAAATTACCCACTGCTTTGCTGTTTTCTTTTCAAAAGATTTCACAATACAGGACAGCAGTGACTCAAAATGTCTGAAGTCTCATTCATTTGGTATTAGTAGTACAAAATCCTACATAATAATACATGAAAGCCTTTATGACCTTAGTGACATGTATTTAAATCATTCTTTATGATGCTAGAATGTGGTACACTGTCAACCCTGACCTGACAAAAACATGTTTTGCAAGAACAGGTTCACTCACAAAGGATGAAAAGATGATGCTTCCTGACCTGTACAAAACACTACATATTTAACATTAAGAAGCACATATACAAGGATCCAAGGTCATAAAGGTCACCTGTGTCTTAGCTGACGTACTTAATACTCTAAAGGTTAACACAGTCGACAGCAGTCAGTGCTTTACAGGTAGAGAGGGTTGGGCAACAGCTGTGGGAGGCGTACTCTGTGCTGCATCATGTCTTTCCATGACACAAAAAGGCCTCTCTTCACTGTGCCGGTAGTGGGGAATTCCTCTTCACAATGACCCTTACTGTTTAACTGACGATGTGTGTGCACCAGAGGGAAACAGATCAGGTTAACGTGGAACTTATGGGTGTTAATGGGGCTGGTAGCTTCAGATTCTTTAAAAAGTACTCTCTAGAATTTCACAGCACAAATGTCTCAAGCAGGAAACTGAAGAGAAGTGATATATTAGCTATGAGTTGACAAGAATATACAATACAATGAGTTTTTAGTAAAGTGGCTCCTTAAAAGTACACATAGTGGACTCACCAGATACTGTATAGCCTAATGGGTTTGTTTTGACTAAATTCAAACATTTACCTCAGCTTTTACATTAGTCCTGCAATAAAGGGATAAGTAAAGTGAGTGTAAACACCTTTATCTCCCTCAAGAGTGAGTAAAGGTTGGCTGCCCCTGTAAGACCTGCTGTTTTATATTGTCAGCAAAAGTACAGATACAATAACTTTTCTGTAGGCTATTGATAATAAAAGTGGTTTGTGATTAAGAGACATAATTACATGGCAATTTAGTGTTTGTGGTTTCTAAGAAAGTATGACATTCTTAACCTCAGATTCTTTAGCCATGCTATAGCACAATTAAGGGGATGGTGTGGTCAGTCTGTCAGTCGGTCCACTAGTGATGGGAATTCTAGCTCTTTGAAGGGAGCTGCATCTTATCGCTCTGTTCCTTTCTCCGAGCCGGCTCTTTCTGCTCCCAAATGGCTCTTCATTTAGTACCATGTCTGCAAAGTTACATTCTTATTTGTTGCAAGAAATAAATATGTATCTGCAATACATTAAAACTAGCATGATGACGTCTATGAAGATTCTCAGTCATCCAGGTCATAGTTATCCAACAAAGGTTAAAATCAAGGGCAACTGGACTTGGTTGAAGATACTGGAAGACGTTTCGTCCCTCATCCAAAGGACTTCTTCAGTTCTGACTGACTGGCAGGGAAACTCAGCTATTTAACCTCAGTGGGGTCGTTGGCCCGGGTCATCGATACTGCTGGTTCGTTAGTGTTCCTTGTTGCTGTGACGACAGTCGTGGACATGGACATGCTACACATTGTACATCAGTTCGATTGTCCGCAATTCAATCGTTCAGTTCATTTTTACGGAAACAAGGAGCACTAATGTATTATTCATTCAGATTTACTGGTATGGTCGGTCTTTATAAGGAGGTCAATAAAGGAGAGTGAGTTCTTCATTGTAAAGTTATTATTCAGACTAATGAAATTGTGAATAATATTCTTGCAGTAAACCGTCAAATCACATATACAGGGCAGTATTATCTTCTCGCCAAGCTTCCCAATGAAAGAAAAAAAAAATATGGAAAAGACAGATTTGGAAATATTTGACAATTAGACAACTGAATGAAGAAACTGCCAAACAGCTGTGGGAGAAAACTTTGGTTCTAGCATCAGCTGGGCCAGATGTCTTCTTGTCATCACTGCTTAATTTGTCTTAATTACATGTGGTCCATGTAGCAACTGATCAAGCTACATTGTGCATTCACGTATATACACTATCTTCCTTTTGTGGGCCTTATTGCAAGACCCTCCTTCTCTAAACTTATCCTGTTTTCCTTGACACCATTATATAAGCTTTCCTTACCAAGTGTGGCTTTGCCTTAGAAAATGGTGTCTGGTGAAATCATCTATTTTTCTTTTCTGGAACTACTGGTGTCTATTTCCTGGCAGGTGTACACAGACAGCATGTTAATTCTACATGTCCTTATATATGTCCTTTAACTGGAGACACAATTACAATCCACAGGTTGTACTTAGATATAAAAAGATATGTTTCATTACAACATCAATGATTTTCTTAATTCTCTAAATATCAATCGTGATCAGCAAGAAAAATTATTCCCACACAGCCAACTCAGGAGGAACACAAGCATGTCCCACATGTCCCCACCACTTTTTTAAAGCATAATTTGTTTTAAAAAAATGTTCTAAATATAGCTTGCAATTAAATAACAAATGAAAATGCCTTTAGAAAGGATTATTTGCAGATTAAGAAAACATGCAATGCAAATAAAATAAAGAAGAAACAAATGTGCATTGTCCAAAAAAATATTTAAAAAGACCCAAACAGGTGTATGCATCAATCAGTAACTTTATCAAATTCTTGACACAGTTTCTTTTTGGCCAAGTTTTCAGTTGTCTCCCTTTGAACATGAAAAAAGAGGAGAAAAGACAGAATCATGCCTATATATGTGTTGCCTCAGCAGGGATGCCATTACATGAGAAAAGTTGATCTAAAGGAGAAACAGATCTGAAAGCAACACAAAATGTCTGAGAACTGCACTGCTTTATATTCTTTAGATTAGATTTATATATTTTGAAATGTCACATGCTACCTGAATTTTGTGTTTCCTTTTACACAAATTAAAACATTTTTACCATAAATTGGCAGAAACTTTCAGCAGAATGCAGGACATGAAGTGTTTAAAGATTAAAATGTCCGGGGGGAGATCCCACAGACCCCCCCGCTCATATATCTTGGCATTGAGTATATCTTTAAAACACTGTTTAAGGACCTTTTCATCTTGTTCTCGTTTGTATCATGATGTCTCTCGAGCTAAGTGTCTCTTCACAGCCCTAATCTGAGCCCCTATGTCCCCATCACTTTTCAACACAAAGTAACACCCTTGAACACAACAAAATTCTGACATTAAAATACAAACTAAATAAATAATTAACAAATGATGATCCACCAGCTTTTTCACCAGTAGCTTCAGTAAAATCAAACATAAGGTGTTTACACCATTTGTACTGGACTGTCACCAACACAATGCCAGTAAGCCATTTTGAAAGATGTATTATTCTTTACATGCTCTCGTGCTTCCAGACTTGACTATGCAATGGTCTTCCTCCACAGCAGAATAGGGACATGGGGACACCAGCACTGTGCACGTATGCAGGGCACTGGGTGATGCAGAACAATGTGAGTCTGCCCAAAAGACATTTAGTTACACTTTCTCACAAAGGCACAACACTGAATTGCTTTATAGTCGTGAGCAACACCTATCCCCTGGAGGTAACATGAGGCGACATCCTGGTGACTTTCTGGGGTAAGACTACCGTGACAAGTGTGTTTACAGGAGCTTGTGTGAACAAGGCAGATAGTAGGACAGTGGGGAAGATTATTGCCACTAAAAAACTTTTTTCTTGTTGTTCAGTGGACAACTTTCATACAAATTTTCCCAAGTGTTTGAATGGAGCTGAGTGTCCTAAAAGGAAAAGAAAAGTAAAAGAAATGAAAAGAAATGAAAAAAAAAAAGACTACAAAAAAAAATAGAATACAAAAGACTGTTGCATATTGTATCTTTTCTACAAACACACCCAGCACCCTGTGGACAAGTATTGTAATTCACATAGTTAATTTTCAACTACATAAAACATGTGCGTGCAAAGATGAATGGATTTGTGATAAGTTCTGAAACCACATCCTTCATATGCTCACACAAAACATGCACACACAGGCAGTCTTATTATCATCCATAAATAATGATTAGATTCTTTTGTTGTTTTGATGAAAAGACAAAAAAGGCACACATGTACTCAGTACATGCAAAGATAAGATATATCCCGAATTTCAATATATGAAATGTTGTATTTGAGTTTTTTTCATCTTCTCTTATAGAACGCACTGAGCCCCTCCCTCTGCAGCAGGTCTGATTTTGAGAGGCAGCGCTCATGGCGAGGGCCAAGTGGAGCAGACAAACTCTGGAGAGGAGCCGAGCTTTTTGATCAGCGACCACGGCACGCCTAAGGGCCGGGCGGAATGACCTGAAAAACCAGCTGCCTGAGATTATTACTACCTGCGAGGAGCAGCTCAGGAGCAACAAGTGAGCAAGCATGGAGCCACCCCCCCCCCCACTCGCCTCCTCCTCTTCACATTAACACTGAAACCACACACACACAAACACACAGAGGCATCTCTGCTTTTTAAACTCTTTGAGACTCTTTCTGTGTGTCTGTCATTTTAGCAGCACCTGGGACTTACTTTCCTCTCTTGGATTAGTTCACACACACTACTCTTCTCCCTCGTGTCAGTGGACTATGCCCCCCTCAGTCAGCTGAGGGAGGGGGCTCTGTGTTGCTCAGGCTCCCATCTGGAGAAGGCTTGGGCTGACATCAAATAGGAGACGGTTAGGTAAGTCACAAGATGGATCACTGCTTTTTGAGTCCTTCTTCTTGGCAGATTTTGTGTTCATATAAACTTGGTCTCTTGCAGTTGCGAGTGATTTTTTAGTGAGTTGGTTACGTGTGTGTGTGTCTGTGCCAGGTGTGTGTGTGAGAACAGGGTTTTCCCCAGACAACGTGGTGGGACGGCAGGTGAGTCTCAGTTGAAAGGGAATAGCTTGCATTCCAAATCGCCCTCAAATTTTTAAATCTACTGTCGCTATTGAACCAGTGGAACAACACAGATTTACATCTGAGGTAGATGAAGTTTCTGCCTCCCGGTACTATCTACCCGTGTATCTCTCACAGAGAAGTGAGTGTTTGATGAAACATCTCTACTTATCATCTTATCAGTTGCAGTTACCTTGTAGGAAAATATGCCTGCTGTTAGAACAGGACTGCTGCACTAATTCAGAGATCACCAGTGTTAGTTTTCATATGATGTAAGAGGCATGGTGATGATATTAAATTTATTTCCTTTAGCTGACGCTTTTATCCAAAGCAAACTACAATTGCTATATGTCAGAGGTTGCACGCCTCTGGAGCAACTAGGGGTTAATGTGTCTTGCTCAGGGACACATTGGTGGATGTCACTGTGAGGAATCAAACCCAGGTCTACCACACCAAAGGCATGTGTCTTATCCACTGCTCCATCACCACAACATATATTAAGCCTTTTGGACTTTGTACAAGTATTTGTTTTTATAAACAATTATTTGTAGTTGTTGGGGGGTGCTGTCTGTGTAGTTCTTAGAATTGAAAGGTTACCAGTTCTTTAAAATTGAAATTAGGCTAAAATTAGACCTGGATTAGACCACTTTGAAGTCACTGGAATTTGAACCCAGAAGAGCATAAAAAGTCTGAATAACATAAAAGCATATCAGGGCGCAAAATAAAATCAAGAGGCTTTTCTCTCCATCCATGTTTCACAATATAATATCCACTCGTTGTAATTAAGGAAACATAATTATATGAATGCACTTATAATGAGGCTGTAACTAGATCACACCCTACCAAATCTAAGAAGCTGAAATGAACTCATTTACACATAAAAAAGAAAATTATCTTCTGGCTGGTTCTGTGGATGATGAAGCACGGTTATGTACATTCTTTTATTATCATTATCAACTCAGATAAGCATTATTTGCAAATATGCTTTATTATCCAGCCTTATAAAGCACAATGTACATACCAGCAATCAAAGCTTCATATAAAAAAATGCAATGCAAAAATTCCTAATCTACACCGATGAAAAGTAGACGTCTTTATTATCAGATATTTATACAATGAGAAGGACAGCTCAAAAGGAAAGCCAGCTCTACTACATATCTTGGATTGGATTATAATACTCATGGGAAATCAGAGCATCCTGACTGGAAAATTAAAAGCCAGTAAACTTGAGCAAGTAATCTCTATATTAAAGGAGATTAATCTGACAAATCAGGCACAAAAAACCCAAACAAATGCTTAAGTCCAGTCTTGTGTACTCATGCCACAGTGGTAAGAATAGTTGTCAGTGGCTGACTCACGTAGATGACCTTTACCAACTGATTGATCTTTAAGTAGCCTAATAACTAATATGTCAGAATCTGGTGTTTTAACAGTCCTACTTAGAGGAGCTGTCAAATCGTAAAGATTGAGCACTGGATGCTCTTTGCTTCTCAGCATTCAGCTTTTCATCCATGTCCGATGGATGCATCCAGTCAGCCAGTTTAATCTATCAATGCCTTTGTAAAAAGCATTGACAAGAACAATGACTTGTTTGTGCCCTCACACAACAGCATTTTTTTTGTTGCCTTTCTATAAATCCATATGTCGCGCGGGGGGGCTGGAGCCAATCCCAGCTGACATCGGGCGCAAGGCGACCCTAACCCTTTCACCACTATTAATTATGATTTAAGTATACACCTTAAGCTGAAGCCCAATTATGATATATTATCTCTTTACTACGTGCATCTTTTTTTAACAAGTTAGCTAGTTTTCTAATCTCACTTATCTCACTCCATCATTTACATCAATAACAGGCACTGTACACTGTCAGTGCTGTTTCAAGTCTTTTGGCCACTGATGGAGGTTAATAAAAGTCTTAGTTAAATCCCTCAAAAACAAATAATATGGGAAATGCACATCTGACGTGATCCAGAGGACCTCATTGCTATGACTATATGCCTGCTCTTCCAGGGAACCTGTGTGTCTTATTATCCTGCTTCACATTGCTCAATTACTGACTCACACCGTCATTTGATGAAGGTCATACTTTGAATGTGTTTATGAATGTGTGCGCAGGAGCCTGTGTTATACGCGATATGTGGACAAACACATGTGGCGGAGGAGGGGGAAGTCTAACCACTCAACAGCTTTGTCTATTTTTTCCTCGTATGAAAAAGAGGAAACTCAATTGTTCCTGTTCTGTGTTGAGAGTCCACTCTCAGAACAGAGCAATAAATGATTTGTTTACTGAGGGTGGAAGAAAGGATATTAAATCTGCAGTGTGAGCGACTAGCTGCAATTTGTGGAGCAGTATTACAGCAAAAAGAAAACTGGCCTGGAAGTTGATACTAGACGTCAGAACAAAGGGATCTGATTAGTTGTAGTTAGAAATTCAAGCAAAGCCTATTGACGATATCTGACTGTAGTTAGCAGAAACAGGTTAGTGATCAGTACTGTTACATCACAGGAAGAATATCCTGGGTCCAAATTTGCATTTTTGTGTAGGGTTTCAAAGTTTCACTAGCCTTTACTGGCACTCACATTTAAAGGGTGAATGTGTTTTGCTCATTGCATTTCCAGTGGCTATCTAAGTTGATCAGTTGATACCATTTGGTTTGTACTCTCCCTAACTATGTAGCAGCTGATGTGACTCTGTGCTGTGTTGGTTGAATAAATTTGGGAAACATGCGTAATTGCTTTCTGATGGAGAGATAGAAAATGAATGCTACTCTGTTAGCATAGCTTAGCTTAGCATAAAGACTGGCTAGCCTGGCTCGGTTCTACTGTGCTTTCAGACCAAAAGCGAAGCGGGCGTTCGGGTCGGTGAGTTTACATACAAAGTCAATGCAAAGACGCGTAGAGCCGCAATTTCCTGTTGGGCGGCGCAAAGTGATGCGAAGGCAACGTGAAAGCCTTCGCGTGTTCAAGATTTTCATTTCGAGTGAACGTTGTGTGTGAACACTTGCAGCAAATGTACTCATGCAAGGAAAGCGTCGTGAGGATTAAATTTGCGTTTGGTCTGAAAGCACAACTAGGGTGACCAGATGAGAATAGGGGAAATTCAGGAGTGGGGAGTTGGAGGTAGGTGTGGGCTCCTATACACTTAGTGTCAATGAACTTTAAAACGTGAAATTGTGTGAAACAATGTAAAATTTATTATTTTTTATATGTCAAGAACTGTATGGCATTAGGGATTTAACACAATCACTGTGTGTAAATCATGATCCAATATATAAAATGTAGGGCTGTCCCCGACTAAGGATTTACATAGTCGAATCAGAATCATCAAGTCCAGCCTATAGTTGACTATCAGTCCAATGATAGTTGAATCATGTGTGTTTTTGTGCGTAGCCATTGCGAGCTGGGGGGGTGGTAGCTTCGCTTTAATCTTAAGAAGCTGCAGAGCTACAGTCTCTATTCATTCAACTTACACTGTAAATTTCCAGCTAAACTGTCTGTCTCTCTCTGTCTCTCTCTCGCCTGCCATTCACCGGCCATGTACAGAGTTCTGCGCGCATTCCGTGCTGCCGACAACTGCATGCACGTTGCGGTACCTCGCGGTTCTATTTCGGTACGTACAACGCGGCACAACACCAGTGAAGCTGGGGCTCCATCTCTTCTGCCACTACACACATACATGCTACGCCTTCACATGCACACTGATGACCTAATGTTAGGGTTACAATTTTGGATTTATTTACGCACTTTAAAAACATTTATTGAAAGTTTTATCCTTTTTACATGTTTATTTACAGCATTAAACGTTGAAATGTATATTGTAATAGGCTGTATATTAACATATTGGGAGAAAACTGGTAGTTCTATCTAAAATCAGATGTTGAGCACCCCCATATCGCCAAAATGGCATGATCCTTGTTTCGCTGCGAAGCTTCGACTGTAATATTGACAGTCGAATCAGGCTCTGCCCATCGAAGCATCAAATGGACTATTCGGGGTCAGCCCAAATGAAATGTATATAATTTGATTAATTTCTTCAAATCTGTCTGCCCAACGTGCGTGTCAGATCTTTCCTTCTCTGTTGCTGACTGCAGCTACACTTCCTCTGTCCTTGTGACTGCAACTTCAGCTATCTTTATCTACACTAGAAAACTAAAAGGGCTCGCATGCGTGTCACTTTTTGGCTATAACAACTCTGCTGACACAATGTCGACGATACCATGCAGTCCCTACCGTAGTCAGTGGAGAGCCAGAACAGTGCCCATCTGTGGGCAACACCAAAGAATATTTTACAACGATCACTGACATTTTATTAGACTATAACTAATGTTGAAGTATTCCATTTAAGGAATCACAAAAACGTTTATTCCTGTCCTATAGGTAAGTGTAAACCACACAGCCAGCCTTTTAAAAAGAATGTGTGCCTGGTAAATGTTATTATACATGTGAGATTTTCTCAGAGGTCAGCGCATCCAAAGTGTTTTCTTTTGGCTAGTTGTGCAGGTCAGACTTACCTACTGAATTTGAAATCTGAATGAATTTGAAGAGCAAAATCATTTGGGAACCTGCAGCAGTTCTTTCTAGTCATCTTTCACATAGTTTTCAACTAAGTATTAATAAAAATAATTATTTGTACCTTATGTAGAGAGAGTAGATAGATGCCCACCTCTCCTCACCTAAAATCTAGGAGGTGGTTGAATGTGTGGAAACACATTGTGTTAAAATTAAGTGAGCCAATCAGGTGAGGTGATTCTCTTTTTACTACATACTTAAAATGAATGTCTTTCAATCATATATGAATTA